TCGACGACGACGCGTCCGACGACGACGACGCGGCGGAGCACGACGACGACTTCGAGGGCATGTACCAGGCCGAGCCCAACGAGGAGGGAGACGCCTGCACGGTCCTGGCGGCGGGCAAGCTCAAGACAAAGCGCGACGAGGTCGGCAAGAACCTGGGGCCCATGGTCGAGACGCTGCTCGCGGAAGAGGAGCGGCGGAAGGACTCGAGCATGCCCATCTGCTGCTGCTTCACGCTGGACAAGGTGGGCCAGTACGAGTTCGGCCCGTTCCGCTGCGCGACGGTGGGCTACCATCTTTGCAACTTCTGCCCCTGCGCGCGGTCCATGGCCGGCCACGGGCAGCCCGGCGGCTGCCGACGGTGTCGCGAGGCCGGAACCGAGGCGACCTGCACGCACTGGGACATGGCGACGCCCGCGACGAAGCAGTACTTCGAGGACCGCGAGAAGGCCTTGGCGGAGCGCGTGGGCACGCTGCCGGACGAGGTCCTGCCGTTCTGGCGGAACAAGGCCGAGGCGACGGAGATCGCGCGGAAGCTCAAGATCAAGCTCAAGAGCGGCGCGAAGCTCGAGACCATCGAGTCGGCGATCCGCGGCAAATGCGACTGCCTCACGGTGCGTGGCGCCGACGTGCCGTCGAACAAGCGCCACGTGAACCGCGCGCCGGACACGGCCGTGCTCCGAGACGCGCGTCGATGGGCGAAGGCGTCGGGCCGGGAGGAGCCGCCGAAGCCTACGACGCCCGAGGCCTGGAAGCAGCTCCGTGACGCCCACCGTGTGCTCCTCGGCGACGCGGAGCGCCTGCTACACGTGCGCCAGGTCCTGAAATTCTGGGAGCTCCTGAGCCCGCACGACCGCGGTCGACTCGTCTCGCGCGACGGGCACCTCCTCGACGTGACGAAGATCATCGATTGCGCGCTGCATCTGACGCTTCGAGTGGTCATCCACACCCTTTCACTTCTTTACAAGATGCCTCTCCACGCTCAGAGTGGTCTTCTGGCTGCTGAAATTGGGTCCAGGCTCGACCGCGCGACCGCGGCCATCCAGACGGGGCTCGATTCGGCGTCCTTCGCCCACCGCAAGGCAAAGGGGTCCGACGCGGCGGCGTGGAAGGCCGGCACGACGAAGCTGCGGGTCTTCAGTATGCCGGCGAAGCGCGCTAAAAAGATAGTAAGAACATCCTTAATATGCAACTCAAATCGCCAAATCATCACCGTCAAGCACGCCAGCAGCGCCGGCGGCGAGACGACGCGCATCGTGGACGTCGGCGACGGCACGCCGACGATCAATGTGTCGCTGCTCGAGCGTGTCGCGGAGGAGCTTCTTCCGGACGACGCGCGACTCCCGAAGGTCAAACTCTTCCTCCAGGAGCTCATCTTCGTGCTCCACATCGTCAACACCAAGTCCTGGGAGACGGACCCGAGCATGCCCGCGACCTTCCAGGGCCACGCCGACGCCATGGGCAAGCTCATGGTCGAGATCTGGGGGCCCGAGAGCATCACGCCCTACTTCCACGACATCATCGCGGGGCACCTGCGCGACATGATGGAGCTCTACGGCCCGCTGTACCGTCACCAGAACGAGGGCCAGGAGCGATTCAATGGCCGCCTGACGGGCCGCAAGAAACGCCACTCGCAGAACGGCGGCGCGTGCAACCGCGGCGCCGAGCTCCGCGCGTCGCGCGGTGCGACGGTCGGCAAGTGCGACTCGATCGGGACCTGGGCCGGCCGCTTCGCGCTCCGGAGCGCCGGCCGCGCCGACAGCGTCCTCGACGCGGCCACGGAGCGCCGGCGCGAGGAGCGCCGCGACGGCGCCGCCGCGCGCGGGGCGCGCCGCCGCGTCGCGCTCGCGGCCCAACGCGCCGCCCGCGCCGAGGTCCACCGCGCGAACCGCCGCGACTCCGAGTCCGACTCCGAGTCCGACGACGAGGACTTCGACGCCGAGCTCGACGACAGCAGCGACGACTTCGAGTCGGAGCCGGAGGACTCCGACTCGTCCGAGGAGGAGGACGACTCCGAAGACGGCATGCCCGCGCTCTAGGCGAGCGCGACGCGAGTAATCGCGGATGTCTTAAACGAACGCGCGCGAAAGTGATCTCCCGCCGAGGTCGGCGACGGACATGGTCCGCCAGTAGACGCTGACGGTGAGGTGCCCGCCGCGGCCGTCGCACGTGCTCACGTACCGGAGGCGTAGCCCCGGCGACTTCGGCGCGCGCTCGTAGCGGACGGCCCGCAGGCGCAGCTGCTTCGAGAACGAGTGGCGGAACCTCGGGATCTCCGCCCAGTTGTACCACGACGTGTCGTCGGAGTCGCGGTCCTCGGGCGGCGGCGGCTGCACGCGGACCGTAAAAACCAGATACTGCTTCTCCTTCTCGTCGTAGCGGATGTCGTCGACCTGCCAGACCGCGCCGTCGTCGTCGAAGAACTTGCCCACCCACTCGAGCTGCGTCTTGTTCGGCTTCCGGCAACCGAGCGGCGGCGTGACCGCGTCGTCCTTCGCGTCGGCCGTCTCGGGCTCCGTGGGCTCCTCCAGGGGCGTCGACCCGTCGAAGACATCGTGCCCGACGACGGCATTGAGCGTCCAGGCCACGCACTCGTCCGTGTCGTCGGCCCGTTCGGGATCCTCGAATCCGACCTCCGTCGACTCGCTTCCGTCGAGCAGGCTCGCCTTCACGCCCACGTTCCAGAGCGAGCCCAGGGCTCCGGTCACGTCCTCGAGCTGCGCGTCGCTCGTCAGGTTGATCGTCTGGATCGTCGTAGAGGCGCCGCGCCGGACGTTCATGACGTCGTCGGGGCGGAGATACCACTTTTTGCTCTCTCCGCTCGTCTCCACGCAGTGCGTGAGGGCCGCGCCGCCGTCGTCCGCGCAGCCGACGAGGCGCTTGATGATGTCCCAGTCCATGGCGTCGATGACGAGCTTCTTGGTCGCGTAGCCGATGCCCGTCGTGTCCGCGGCGGCCGAGCTCACGGCGTCCCCGGACAGGAGCGCGTAGACCTGCGACCGTAGACAGGACCGCCACCGCAAAACCTTCGACGTGCGCGAGAGCAGCAGCGTTGGCCGGCCCATGAGCCGGCCGTGCTCGCCGTCCTCGGGCCTCGCGGCCCATTTGCCCGCGGGCACGGTCCTCCCGGAGACGCGGTCGATGACGTAGACGTCCTTCAGGCCGTTGAGCGGCACGCCGATGTGCTCCGTGGCGTGGGCGACGACGATGATGTCCTCGATGTCCGCCGCGGGCAGCCAGACGGTCTTGTTGCCCAGGTTCAGCTTCGCGGGCGCCGGCGCCCCATCCGTCGGCGTCGCGGTCCGCGGAGCCGGCTCGTACTTGCGCACGAGGATGTAGTCCTCGTCGCGCCTCGCGCGCTGCACGGCGGGCTGGAGGTTCTTGGGGATGAGCTGGTAGGGCGCGATGTCCTCGACGCGGCCCAGGACGCCGTCGCGGCACCGCACGCTCTCGCCTCGCATGATCATGTCGCCGAGGTGCGGCACGAGCACGACCTTGCCGCTCCCGCTGTCGCTCGCGCGCCGCTTCGAGGCGGCCTCGCGCGCGCCCGCAGGACGGGACCGCTTCCCCTTCCCCATGGCGTCGAGGCAGCCCAGCCTATTACGAGCCGCACCTCAACGGTGGGGCTCCCTCAGCTCTCGGACGATTGGGTCGTTGTGTAGTAGTTTACTTCAAGTTGAGGTGCAACTTTACTTCAAATTACCACGGAAACTCTCCGTTTCCCGCAACTAGCGGCGCCGGGATCGAGTTTGGGTAAACGAAAAACAGGCGACGCCTCCGGAAAAGCAAGTAAACCTGCACCTGCCGGCGAATTACGGCAGTAAAGTGGAACCTAGGTTTGGCTTATGCACTCTCTTACTCGAGGGCACTTACTCGGCGGAAGCCCGCTGCGGAAGCCCCCCCAACCCCCCTCCGACAGCATGCCGCACCTGTGGCGCTCACCTGTGGCAAGTTATTAGTCGGCTTTGGTCGCTGGTTTTGGTCTACGGTAGGCTTGGCCATGTCAAGGCGCGGAGGTAAGAGGTGTTAGGCGGGTTGAAAGCGCCCACCGTGACTTGGCCCTCCGTATCTCCCACTGGCCTAGCTGCTTCGTTGACGAAGCGTAAGGGTCGTACTCGACGCTGGCCGTTGCTGATGCGTACTCTAGTCTGGCGAGGTGGTCGTCCCAGCACATCCTTGACAGCGCCGGAGTTGCCACCGAAACCGCGAGACGCGAGCCGCGCATTGATCGACACGGGCGCGCAGGCGTCCGACACGTGACTGCCCCGCATCGGCACGCGCGGCGAGCCCTCTGGCTCCGTCGCGGAACCCTCGGGATTCCGCGGCTACAGCAGCGCGATCCAAGTTCAGCATCGAGAGCGACAACGACGCCTCCGTCCCCGGGTCCCCACCGATCCTCAGCTGGGGCGCGCTCCGCGCGCAGGGCATGAGCTTCGACCAGGGCTCCAACGTCATGGTCACGCCCGACTAGGAACGGGAATAGACGTGCCGCGGCCGGCGTGCGGCGTCGAACGTCACGACGCACATGTTTCGACCGCTGACTGGCGCTCAACGTCCGCAGCGATACGCTAGCGGGCGAATTTGCATCGATGGCGGCGGTTCTGACAATCCCTCGACTACCACAACACCTGCGACGCAAAGTGCGTGGCCCTGCGTTGAGCTAGCCGCCCCAGGATATTAGTATTTCAAATGAACACTATCGAGTTTCTTGCTCACGGCCTTAGCACGAAGCACCCATAGCACAAAGCGCCCATAGCAATGTCGACTTTATCGACTGGCCCTAGCCCACCTGCTGCATGCGAAAGGATGTCCACTTATCAGGGACCATCATGAAATATCTCTCCATTGCTGCTTGAAAGCGATTTCGGTAATTGGGGGGCTGGATGACAGTCGGTTCGGCCTGACCTGCAATCATCCCTACAGACTTTCCCATGCGCTCCATTTTCTTTATGATATCATACTGACGCATGTAGTCGATAATACCCACAACAAGCTCGTGATTTTCTTCATCCATGCCAACCAAGATTGAGTAATCCACTACGTTTATAAGTGACAAAAATAGCGTATCGTTAAGCACAGCACTGTTGAAATATGCTTTGGCTTGATCACGCAATGGTAATGGACGCCCATTTGTGAACTCCATGAAATTTTCATCGAGGAGTACGGGGTGCGCTTTACATGATAGGGTCTCAGCTTGCTCCTGATTTGAATCTTGCATTGGCGATGCTGTGCCATCTGTGCAGCCAGTCACTCTAGCATATCTGGAACGGGTACTACCTTTGAGGTCAAAGGCGCGAGAGATTATGCGATCGTGGAAAAGATTCTCCATGACGACAACCTGCTCCATAATCCTCCTGCCATTGACACGGTTGTGTGATCCGATCTGATAGACACCGAGAACTTTGACGAGAAGTGTATCATACTTGTGAAAGAAAGATTTTGAGAGATACTCAAAGTATGCCGGAGCATACTCTAGGAACATCTGTAACTCTGTCCGGGTGATCTGTTTGACAACAAAGCGGCCATCTGCAGTCTTAAAGAAAGTTGCACCAGATTTCCCACCTTGAGCATTCCACGGTCGCGCCATGGATAGCGACCTGAGGTAGCCAATTTCCTCATCTTCGTTGAGACCAAGATAGGCTTGACGAACTGCTGCAAATTGGGTCGCCCAGTATGCTTGGCATACAAATTTACACAATGTGTTACCATTTCTATCGACATCAGCAAACCGGTGTTTTACATGAGTTTTTTGCTGAGAAAGTAGCTGCCTTTCCAGGGACCCTGTCGGTATGTCACTCTGAGGGCACTTCTGCTCATGTATTTCGCAAGATTCCAGAGACGCAGGCTGAGTTAGCTTTACTGCGCGACGGAGCTGGTGGCTATCAGCTGTTGTGATCTGTATGAATTTGGAACTTTCTGTGACAGGGTGCAAATTCATGCTACGAGTCAACGCGGAATCATGGTAGGATGCAGGATTGTCATTTGGGGTAATAAGTGAAGCCAAGCCCCCAGCCCATGGCAAGTAGGTAGAGTCTGTTATTTCGTTGCTATGTGTGGCCGTAGATATTGAGGCATTAGCAACGCCGGAGTTTTCTGCACCCACTACATTACTAGGGAGAGAACAGATCGGGGGTGTTGCATTGTGTGTACCCGAGCTAGTGTAAGGAGTTCGAGTAGACATGAAGGACGATGGAGGTGAAAACAGGTCACTATCTAGATAGCCCCGCAGTGCTTTCGCATATTCTGCGGTGTTGAGACTGTATGCAATAATAGTTGTTGGTTGCCCTTCGTGCACTAAGAGAACCTCGCCGCGGCACCCCATATCCAAACATGGTCGACCGCCCTCAAGTTCACCAAGGTTAATGGTCCACGGGTCTTCCTCCGGGCTTTCTTTGCCCATGAATCGCGCAAAGGCAGATGATAACTTGTATGTCCGTCGCGCAGGTCCGAGCTTCTCTCGTCTAAATTCACCACCCAGTTGATTTCGATTTGTGGCCTGGTCTTGAGAAGGCGGTACTTTTGGTACAGATGGCATCAAGTCTAAAAGGGCGTTTGTCATCAAAGAGGGCTGGTCGCAGCTTCCATTGTCTGCGACATGCTCTAATTCATGGGGTGGAATGACACTAGAAACCATTCTTGTCTGGTATGGTGTCAATTGGGCGCATGATGCGCTGAGCTCTGGAGTTTTCTTAGAGATCGCAGTCGATAATTCGTTGGTTGAGTCTGAATGTTCATCAAATGGTAGTCGTTCGTATTGTTCATCTGCCATGCCTTCTTCCAGTTCATCGTCATCTGTCATAGCACGGATATCTGCCCGGCTGGTGGCTTTATGGAGGGCTTGTTTTATCTGTTGCAAGCGATGCAGTTCCGCCGCTACCAAATCATCTCTTGCGACTGCAGTGGAAGCATCACTAGGCATTGTATTGGATGTGCGCATTGTACCCTGTACCGTTGTCACAAGTTGACCAAGCAAAGACAGCTGGGCATTCCAGTTAGTGGCGTGAATGTAGAGCTCCCGGCGAAACTGACCAGGGAAATGCATTACATCGACTACAATCTCTTGGGTATGCAAGGGAAATCCACTACCAAGCAAAGCTTCTGCGAGGTGCTTCTCGAGTTTGCTAGAGTGCTGTTGTATTTCGAGTAAGATTCGATTCGTTTCAGAATTGACAGCCAAGCAGAAGTTTGAGGATGATTCTGGAGTCGTAAAGATTACATCATCCTGGGCGGTATCCTCTGCTTTGATAGCGATGTCCACAAGAGTCTGAAGCTCACGAATCTTTTCTTCGAATTCCTTTGAGAGTTGTTGATTCAGCCCGCGCAGGTGATGGTATTGCTCCTGCAGGTTATGCGCATGAAACAGATGGTCGAAGGGTAGTTCTTTTCGAGTGTGTATGGTGTAAAGGGTGATGCTGTCATATTCAATTCTGGCTGCAAGATTACCGCATCCAAAAAAGTGAATATGTTCAGATTGAATGCGATGCTTACAGCCACTGGTTCGGCCAAGGGCGCTTTTGTTGTAGAAAGAAACCTCCAAATATTTTCCAAAGGACATTTTCCAAGTGTCATCTGACATCGGTACTAGAGGCGTGACTATTCGCTCGCACTTCCGGCAGTAACTCCACATAAGAATGGATCGATCAAACGAACTATTCGAACAGTCTTGATTTCGCGCGGGTGGTTCCACTGGTAGCGATTGATCAAGTTTGATCACAGTTACTGTTAATCGCCCATCGTTGTGATTGAACATCTGCGTAATGTCTAGTACAGAGCGTCTTTCACTGTGTGGAAACTTAAGATCCAGATTAAAACAAGAATCCAATAGAAATTGTCCGAGACACACATCTTGTGGTGTGTAAAATAGTATGGCCTTGACCTCGGCAGAGGCACACTGTATGTGCTGGCTCATCCAGACGCTAGTAACCAAGAGACTCTGATGGTCGTATGCTGTGGTGAGAGGTATTCCACCAAAAAGACGGCTATCTTTCCTACTGTGCTGGATTGTATTGTCGAATCTCACAGCCAATGAAGTTGATAGCAAGTCTGAGTTGCTGCATTCCGGAAAGTCTTGCTGGTTGCTGGTCGATAAAGAGGCCCCGCAATCAAGAAGGTATGATGTCTCTAGCCGCAAATGATACGCGACATATATTGCGAATCGAACAATGCGTTTGATTTGCTTTAGTACTGTCTTATGCTCACCTCGTAGCAGGATACTACATCCTAGTCCCTTCGGACAACCAGCCAGGTAGACATAGTTGATGAAGCCGTGCCCACGGACTCGTTTACAATGATGCCTTGAAAACGCTAGTGAATTACTTGCTTGGGAGCATGCATTCCCTGGAGTAGCATCGGAATGGTGGTGCAGGTTTCGATAAGCGACCATTTGGAAACGTTGGCAGTGACCGATGGATGCACAACCAAGCTTTCCCATGTTATTCACATGGTCAGTGGACGACAAAACCGCGGCGCCAGTCATGCGAGCAATTCTATTCATGAGATTAGGCTTCACGTTTTGTATGACAATGACCTCATGCTGATGCAAGTACTCCTGCGCCTGTCTTGAAACTGATTGGCCAACGAGAAGCAGATCAGGGCGCAGTCGGACAATCTTGTCTATCATAATCTGAGTGTACCTCTGTTCTTGTTCCATCAAAGTCCCAAAACTTGCTAGCCTAGAACAAGTACGTTGAAATTCGATACCGCCAGACAAAAGCAAAATACGAGGGTTCCTGCACGTGCGCGCCATACGCTTGTGGACTACATGCTTGCGAAACACTACCCCGTCGATGTAGCAGCACTGGTTTACAGACCCGCCTGGTATTGTCTTCAATTTGACATATGGACGGATGTCCATGTGATCTCCTGCGCGAATATTAGGATTGACTGTGGTACACACTTGGTCCACCAACTTTAGGATGATGACACTCCACAAATCGGCTAGCTTGGTGTCAGAAGAGCATTCGCTGGCCGGGCAAACATCCGCAAGGACCAGGGATTTGACAATTAAACCAAGATGCTGCGCCGCACTCGAGGAGAGGTGGCAACGCGTACGAACGAGGTCCGTAGTGCTCTCGATATTCATTGACGTAGCACTCATCACCGACATGGGCGCTGCTGCAGATGTGCTCCCAAGAAGCCTGCGTCGCAAATTAGCCTCAACACGGGGATCCTCAGAGCGAC